TGAAAGCATTACATCTACATAATCTTTCAATGGTGAGGTGCCAAATCTCTACTTAATTACTTCCTTTTGTAGAGGTAAAGGTGACTAGGAAATCACTTCCTTCCCATTCCTAGTCTTCATTTAAAATGCAAAATACAGGTGGATCACATCTGATTTATTCAGTTCAATTTAACCAACCAGTGAGAGCCATCACTACTTTCTAGGCCTAGGTAGGGGGTGGGTGTGGGTGGGAATAGGAAAGGTTTACAATCTAATTGAAAGACTGTTCTAGATTCACAAATAAGTATAATTCATCACTAAGTGGGAAAAATATGAAGAAGATATTATGAGAATTCAAAGGTAAGAGGGCTCAATAGTGGTTAGAGGCAATCCAGCTGTCAGCATGAGGGTTTAGCTATCAACTAAAATCTTAGCTCACATTTAACACTTTGAAGGAATTAGTTAATATCTAACTAAAACATATTCAGGGGAGTTGGAGTGGAAAGGAACCCAGCAGAAAATGGGAAGGGTGGGTAGTGAGAGAACCCACCAATATGGAAGAAAGGGGCTTGGTATGAAAGGTAGCAGGGCAGCAGACAGGATTCACCTACTTTAGTTTTGCTGAGGCCCTATAGTGTGTAATTTTGGAATAGGTGATAGGTTGCTGACTCCTAGTTCATCAATTCTTTAGGTCATGTCTACATTAGTGGGAGTGTCACAGTTCACTTAATGTCAATATAAGAATACAAGTGATATAGTTGGATAGCATATATTTCTACAAAAGAGGCAACGTGATATCCTGAAAAAGGTATTAGACATGGAATCATGAAAGACCCAGAGTTCTAGTACTGTCTCAGACACAATCTGTCTGTGTTACTCTGGGGAAATTAGTTAACTTTTCTGATGAGCCTCACTTTCTTCATTTATAAAATGAGGACAGTTATTACAGTTAGCATTTATATATAACTTCAGGGTTTGTAGTGCTTTACATTTGTTATCTCAGTCATTCAGTCAATAAACATTTATTAAGAGCCTACTATGAGCCTTTCTGCCAACATTTTCTATCTTTTCTGAATACTGCGTGTTCATATACTTTGACCATTTATCAGTTGAGGGAATAACTCATATAAATTTTACTTAGTTCTCTAAATATTTGAGAAAAGTGAGGCCTTTAGTGGAGAAACTTGCTATAAAATCCCCCTGCCCCACCCCCTTCCTGCTTTTCTTCTAATCTTGGCTGCATTGGTTTTTTTTAATAAAAACTTTTTAATTGAATATCATCAAAATTATCTATTTTAAATCCCATAATGTTCTCTATCCCTTGTTTGGTCATAAATTCTTTCCTTATCCATAGATCTGACAGGCAAAGTATTCTATGCTTCCCTAATTTGCTTATGATATCACCTTTTATGTCTAAATCATGTACCCATACATAATATGTATCCGTATATAAGAATAATTAGACTACCTGAAAACTATGAGCAAAAAAAGAATCGTGATACAAAAATACAAGAAATAATCAAAGAAAATTGTCCTGAAGCATTAGAACAAGAGGAGAGAGTAGAAATAGGAAAAAAATCCACTGATCACCACCTGAAAGAGATCCTATGAGGAAAACACACAGGAATATCATAGTCAAATTCTGAAACCCACAGCTCAAGGATAAAATATTATGAGCAACAAGAAAAAAAAAACTTAAATATGGCAGTGCCATACTTAGAGTCACACTAGACCTAGCAGTGACAACACTGAAAGACTTCAGGTCTTGGAGCTCTGTATATCAAAGGGCAAAAGAACTGGGGTTCTGGCCAAAAATATCATACCCCCAAAGCTACACATAATCCTAAATGAAAAAAAAAGACATTTAATGAATTGTCAGACTTTGAGGATTTTGTTTAAAAAAAACAAACTTGAACTCAATACAAGGTTTGACATGCAAGAGCCAAGAGAAATATAAGGTACATACCAAATCCTAATTACAAGGGATTCAATAAGGACGGACTATTTATCTTTTATGTATGTAAAATGTAAGATGTATGTCTAAGATTGTTACTAGTAATTGAGTAGTTCATAAAAAAAGATTGGGGTAGATCTGAGTATGATATGATTTTAAAAAATAAAACTGTTTAGAAACAGCTAAAAAGAGTAATTATCTTATACAAATGAGGTGCAAGAGGAAGAACCATCACAGAGGAATTAGTTGGGGGAGAAGGGCTGGTAGTTCAGGAAACTTTCATTGGGAATGGATTCAAGAGGAAACAATACATATACATCTAGAAGAGTATAAAAGGCTTCTAAATTCAGAAAGAGAATGCTAAGGGGATAGGGAGGGGAGAGAGGATAAGGGAGGGATCTTTAGAGGGGAGGGTGAGGGTGAATAAGTTCAAGTGGGATATAGAAGGGTATTTAGATTAATGGGAATGGGAGGATTAGGGAGGGATCCTGGGGGGGGTAGGTTAAGTAATAGAAGGGCTAAATCTCTATTAAAGATAGTGGGTAGAAGTGAAGTAGAGGAATCGGGAGGGATAGGTAATAAGAGATATGCACAAACATAAAATGAAGATCAAGAGCAGAATTTGTTAGGGAAAAAAGATCAGGGGTGGTAATCATAATCTCAGACAAAGTTAAGGCTAAAATAGATTTAATTAAAATTGAAAAACAGAGAAACTACACTATGTGTCAGCCATATTTATCAACATTATATATGAATAGTTATGGACTATTTAAAACAGCTAGACAATATAAGGTGGAAATATTGCTGAGATGTAGAAAATGATGAGTTGATGGACTTGGAAAAATATGGAAAGACTTGGACTTATGAAGGAAGAAGTTATCTACCCTCAGAGAAACAGAGGATAAATAAGTATAGTATGGTCTTATATAGATGCATATGAATGTATATGGCTATATATGACTGGGAACATCAATATCTAAGTATGTATACGTGTAAGTGTATGTATGAGTATATGTGTGTATATGTATATATGCATATCTTTGTGTGTGTGTGTACATATGTATGTGTATATATATATGCATATAATATACATGCATAAATATATTCACGCTTAATTGTAGCCTTCTGTGGCAGGGAGGGAAGGAAGAGGGAAAAACAAGTAAAAAGTGCATAGCAGAGAACAAAAGAAAACTTACAAGGAAGCAAAGAAAAGATGGACAGCTCTCAACACAATGCATAGTTTTTATTATATAGGCTTTCTTAAAATGGAAATTTATCTTCATATAGTTTTAATCCTCTCACATTCTGCTGTGCACATGGCAATGTTTTTTTTCTTATTTTGCATTATTTTAGGATTTAAGTTTGTTTCTTTTTTCTTATTTTGTATTTAAGTTTTAAAAAAAATTACAAAAAAAAACCACCCCAAAAATGTACCAATTCTGACCTTATCTTGGTATATGATGTAAAGTATTGAACTGTTCCTGGTTTTTGCCAAACTGCTTTCCAGTTTTCTAAGCAATTTGTGTCACATAGTGAATTCTTTTCCCAGAAGTACGGATCTTTTGCATTTATCAAAAACTAGATTACTATGGTCATTTACAATTATGTATTGTGTACCTAATCTATTCTACCGATCCGCCACTCTGTTTCTTAGCCAGATTGTTTTGAGCACTGCTGCTTTGTAGTACAGCTTGAGATCTGTTACTGCTATTCCACCTTCCTTCACATTTTCCCCCATTGAGTCCCTTGATATTCTTGACCTTTTGTTCTTCCAGATGAATTTTGCTATTTTTTCTTGCTCTATTAAAAATTGTTGGTAGTTTGATTGATATGGCGTTGAATAAGTAAATTAATTTAGGTAGAATTGTCATTTTTACTGTATTGGCTACTCATGAGCAATTAATATTTATCCAGTTCTTTAGATCTGACTTTATTTGTGTGAAAAGTGTTTTGTAATTATGTTCATATAGTTCCTGGGTTTGTCTTGACAGGTAAACTCTCAAGCATTTTATATTGTCTGCAGTAATTTTAAATGAATTTCTCATTTATCTTTTCCTGTTGGACTTTGTTGGTAATATATAGAAATGCTGATGATTTATGTGGGTTTATTTTTGTAACCTGAAACCTTTGCTGAAGTTGCTAATTACTTGAACTAGTTTTTTTTTAGTTGATTCTCCTAAGTATACCATCATATCATCTGCAAAGAGTGATAATTTTGTTTCCTTATTGCCTGTTCTAATATCTTCAACTTCTTTTTTCTTCTTGTATTACTATAGCTAGCATTTCTGGTATAGTATGGAATAACAGTGCTGATAATGGTCATCCTTGCAGGGAGGTAGAGTGAGCCTGCCTTTAGTGATAGGCATGGATGAAAGGCCCTTCAGAAGAAACTTGGCTATCTCTAAGGTTGTTCAAAGGAAAATGCTTTGGACTTTTGCCCAAATAAAAGAGGCAAAGCTCAGGAAAAGAAAATTAAAAAGGAGTTTATTAAGAATGCCAAGGCAGAAAACATTGGCAGGATGGCTGCCGGGACCAATGCGGGATTCAAACCATGGCAGTTTTTATAGACAACACTATGTGATAAGAAAGGTAATCCTGATAGGTACATGTTTACAAAGGGGACGGGCCATTTTGTTTTAGCTTCTCCCCCATTGCTGTATCATAAGGAAATGAGATTAGAGACAAAAGGATGGGATGAACATGTATGGGACTATGGCCAGACTGGCAGATAGGGCAAGGGGACCAAGAGTGCATGTCACAGACAAGCTGATGACTCAGCTAACAGACTAATTAATGCCATGTGCTGACTCAAAGATACTTACTGCTTAGACAGGTAAGACTGGTACAATGGGGTCACTTAAACTGGCTCAGTACAAATTTCAATAAACCTTTGACACTCGCTCTGTGACCCTGGGCAAATCATCTCTCAATATCCCTGACAATTTTCTAAAACATGAAAGTTTGTAAAATTTTTGATTAGCAATTGTAGAGGAATTTATTAGAATATAAACTCCTTGAAGAGAGAGACTTCAGTTTCTTTTTCTTTATATCTCCAATGAAACTTGAGTTTGTCTGGGCATGCTCAGTTCACTTACGTAGAAGACACCTGAGGTGCCTTTTGAGCATGTCCAGATTGTGCAACATGGAGGCCTCTGTGTCCCTGAACCTGTTAATGGGTACAGCCTCTGTATCTTTAAAACTGGTGAGACTGTGCCTGGTTGTTCCTCCCCCTACTCCCACCTCCATCTTTGTTTGCCCTGCATTGACACTCCCCTTTTGGCCACTCTTACCTGCTTCATCTAGAGGGTGAAGATCACAGCTCACCTACAGCGTGAGTATCATGAAGTGAACTAGTGAAAGGGAAAAAACTCCCCTCTTTCCTTCCTTCCTTCCTTCCTTCCTTCCTTCCTTCCTTCCTTCCTTCCTTCCTTCCTTCCTTCCTTCCTTCCTTCCTTCCTTCCTTCCTTCCTTCCTTCCATCCATCCATCCTTTTATTCCAGCTCCCAGAAATGGGCCTGGGGTGGTTGTCTCTATTCTATGTTATTTGTCCTCCTCAATTTCAGATGATCCCCACTAAATAGGAATTTAAGTCATGACTACCTTGGAGCCAGGATTGTAAGCAGCATGGTGTAGTCAGCCAACCTGGCATGGAAGCCTTGAGAAGCCAGGGTGCCTGGAACTTGAGCCCTAGTGGGGTTTGAACTTGGAACTGGGATTGTGTTCTATAGTGCCTGAGATGAACTTAATCTCCTTCTTTTCCCTAGGGACTGAGGTGGTGCAAAAGGGGAGGTGGATTATGTCTCCCACCTGTTGGGGTGGTTAAGTTTGTATGATTGTAAAATTATACTTTTTGAAGTTAATATTTCTGTATAAAAGGGAATCTGATTGTTAATGGCTAAATGGAACTCAGGTGCAAGGAGACCAACCTCCCTACAATTGAAGGAACACCATTGTCGGTTTTTAAAATTAAATTATTTTGATTTATCAGCAATCACTTCCATATGCTTTTGAGTTTAAAATTTTTCTTCCCCTTCCTCCCCGCCACCCTCCCCAAGATGGCACACAATCTGATATAGATAGGCTATACATATCCATTCCTATTAAACCTATTTTCACATTAGTGATGTTGTAAGGGAACACCGTTGTTGAGGGCTGGAGGGCTAGAGAATGTAGAGAGAGATCCCAGATTACCTTAACGGTACTAGAGAACACTGGGAGTAGAAAGATATCTAACCTACCTGGCCTTCTGGCAGTGGGGTCCAAAGTGGCTGGTTTTATAACAGCATTTAGCACAGTCCTTAGCCCATAGGAAACACTGAATAAATGCTTTTTGATTGATTGATTGATTTCCTCACCAGATGAGCTCACAGGTTGAGATGGAAAAAAAAGTTAGGTATAGGATACACAAAGGTGGGAATTATGGAGGGAGTATCCAGTTGGGGGCTGGCCATCTTCCTTCCAAGTACCCCAGTGTTGCTACATCCCTGAATGCAGGGTTTGGATTAGATGCTTCTGGCTCTAGTACTCCAGGATTCAATGACTTACTCCAGGTGGCACAGTCAGTTGGCAGAATCTATATTAGAACTCAAGGTAGCTGACTCCTAGTTGTCTTCTAGTCTCACCTTGCTGCCAACTCTTATTGGATTTTTTTAGGGGAGGTTTCCCCCTTGTGTAACAAATCTTTTCAAAGGTCAATAAAGTTGATGATTAATAAATCACTGTAGGGTAGTCACCGGGTGTTATTGAAGAAAGATGGAGTAATGCACAGGGTGGAATCTTATTAGCTTCCCTACAGATAACCTGAATTACCTTTTTGTCAGTTATGCACATATCCTCAGATGCACCAGTGTAGGAAAACAAATGACAAATCGAATAAATAAATGTCACAGTGTTGTGCACTGTGTGAAAGTGATGGATATGGAGTCAGAAGACCTGGGTTTGAATCTCAGCTTTGTCACTTACTACCTGTGTAACCTTGAGTAAATCACCTAATCTCTCTGGCTCTCAGTTTCTTCATCTATAAAATGAATGTGTTGAATTATCTCCAAGTTCCCTCCCAGTTCTACATCTATGATTTTATGATTACCAAGCTGGGAAACCTCTGCCCTTGGACCCTCTTCTCCTTATTGGTTTCTTTCTACCCTGGACTACTATTTTAGGAAGGGCCCCATCCATGCTTTACTTCAATCTCACCTTGACTTTCTCTGGACTCCACTTCCTTCTGCTTGCCTGCCACATTGCCCTTTCTCCAGTACCTGTCTGTCTGTCTCTCTTGTTTGTCTGTGTATCTCTGTCTACCTAATTATCTTTCTATCCATCATCTATCTCTCTATCATCTTATCTGTCTTTCTAGATATTTATCTTTCTATCATCTATCTCTATCTATAATCTGTTTCATCTATCTGTGTCTATCTACCTGTCTGTCTTTCTGTCATCTATCTATCTGTCTGTCTGTCTATCACCTATGATCCCAAGTGTGCACAAAGATGTATTTATGTATTTAATATGTATTTAAACTTCATTTTTTCAAACAGTTTCAAGTTTTAAGAAATCTTATATGCTGAGATGTAAGTCCCCAGCAGTCTACTGCTATTTGCTGTGCTAGATTGTTAACATAAAAATCTGAGCTTGGTTTTCATGCCCCGCATTTTTCTTGTTTTTTTATTCCAGTGCTGGAAAAATAGTCCTTCATCAACATGGAGAATACATTCAAGCCTCACCTGGCTAGGATTGGCAGGTCCAGAGCAAGTACCAAATAGGTTTCCTGGACAATTTCCCTATTAGGTACCCATTTAAAAATAAAATTACATATTCTTTTTAAAAATTAAATGTTTTATTTACTAAATGTTCAATAAGATATTGACTATTAATATAACTAATGCCATTTTCTGAGTAATTATTTATTTTCAAATCAATTTCAAGGCAAAAGTATAACCACTTTTCATTCACTTCACTAAACCCCCCAAGAGGATTCAATGTTTGTCTTTCATTTTCATTCAGTTTTCCTTTTGTACAGTGGGACGATGCTCTCTATCTTTAGGATCATAAGCTCATAGATTTTGAGCTGAAAGGGACCTTGGTGGTCATATCCAGCCCAGTCCTTCATTTTGCAAAATGAAAAAACTAAAGCTCAGCAAAGTTCAATGACTTAAGGTAGAATTTGAATGCAGGTTTTCATGAATCCAAGTCCAGCACTCTATCTACTATGTCATCTTCCCTGTCATCTGGGTAGGCTTTTTTCATTTTGCATTATGTTGTAACCCAAATTTTTTTTGTATCCTTCATGCTTCTAAGTTATAACTAACATTTTTATATCACTTACTATGAGTCAGGCACTGTGTTAATCCTCACAACAACCTGGGGAAGTAGGTGCTGCTATTATCCCTATATTAAAGATGAGGAAACTGAGGTAAACAGACTTACCCAGAGGCACACAGCTAGTTAAGTGTGTGAGGCTAGATTTGAACTCAGTTCTTTTTGACTCCATGTCTGCACTCTATCCATTATACCACCTAATTGTCATTAGAGTATTCTATTACATTAATGTTATTAGGTACACTTTTTGATTCTACCACGCAAAGGTTTTAGGACAAAGGGAGAGTTTTCTCTAATGGTTTTGCCTGAGTGGTCCTTCCTTTTCACTACTGAATGAAAGGAGTGCTGGACCTGGAATCAAAAGTCCTCTTGGGTTCAAATTCTAGCTCTGCAAGTTAGCTGTGTGACCTTATTAGCCTCAATTTCCTCCACTGTAAAAGGATAGTGCTTGCATCCCTTACAGCTTTTTCCATGGGGAAAACATTTTCTATATGTTGAAAATCTATGTAAAATGTGAACTAATATTAATAGGATTTCTAGTTAGAACGTACAGTTACCTCATTACATGTAGTATGAGTGGTTAGAAACTAATAACATACAGGTAGGTGTGGTACACAGTCATATTATATGAAATAGCCTGATAACTTCATTCTTTAATCAGTCTCCTAGTAGGCTGTTACCTTTTTTTATTTCCAGGTCATCTGGTATAATCCTTTTACACCAACCTTCGGATTCCTTATCACACCTTTTACATCTTCTACTAGGCTGAGTTATAGTTCTCTCTCCCTTGGGTCTCCTAGTGAAAAAGCAAAGATATCCCTTGGTTCCAAGTCTACTGCCTCAGTTCCAGATCTGAATTTCTCCCTCCACAGTTATTTAAGCTCTAACCTTCTAACACTCCCCTGGTTTTCCACCCAGAGAAATCTTCCAGAATGGATCTCTCCCTTTCCTGATGCACCGGCCTGAGCTACTTCTCCTGGTGCTCCCTGTCCCAGTTGTCAGTTCATCCTATGATTCTGTTTCTCTGAAATACTCCTATCTTAATGGATAATCACGTTCTCTAAAAAGCTTCTATTATCCTAGTGCTGTCATGGTCTATACATCTAGGTCTGTGTTATAAACATTTCATTGTATAACCACAACGTGATACAGTAAAGAACATTGGCTCCAGTATTGCTTTTGATGCTTACTACCTGTGTTTCCCTGGGCAAGTCAGTTACCTCATGGACTTCTGTTCTTCATTTCTAAAATAAGGAAGGTGGACAAGATGGCCTCCGAGACCCATTCCATGTCTAGATCTATGATTCCATGAGTAATTATTAATGCAAACATTGATATGTTTTATATAAAAACCATAGGCATTTGCATTTTGTTGTTGTAGTACAGTCATTTCAGTTGTATACCACTCTTTGTGACCCCGCTTGGGATTTGCTTGGCAAAGATACCCAAGTGGTTTGCCATTTCCTTCTCCAGTTCATTTTACAGATGAGGAAACTGAGGCAAACAGGGTTAAGTGACTTGCCTAGGGTCACACAGCTAATCAGTCTCTAAACCCAGACTTGAACTCAAGAAGATGAGACTTCCTGTTTGCAAGCCCAGTGCTCTAGCCATTGTACCACCTGGCTGCCCCACCTAGCTGTACCTAGCTGCTGCATTTGCATTAGACCCTCCTCTTTGGTAGAGAGAGTGATTACTCTGCTTGCACAAATGATCATTGTCTCTACCCATGAGGAAGTCTTATGCAAATACTTAGGTTTGAGCCCTGGGGGACATATCTAAACCTCAGCTTTAAGCAGACAAGGGCACTCTTAAATCCAGATATTTTTTGTGGAGTGGGGTTGTCATACAGATCATTATGCCTGCGTTTTAGTAATGTAGAATTTTTAAGTAAGAGGTTCACTGCTTGGAAGATAACATCAAACAGAAGTACTTGGTATTTGAACGTTATTTGTTGTGCCTTATTAATGACTGGACTAGAAACCAGGGACCTATCCAAAACAGCTGTTGTTCCTGCTACTCCCCTATTTCACCAAGATGTTGTAGATACAGTAGGGGATTTTGTTGTTATTGTTATTATTGGATAATTGTAATGTTTCAAAACATTTCAAATATTTTGTTTTTTTAAATTACATCTAAAAATAATTTTTAACGTTTGTTTAACATTCTCTCCTTCCCTCCCTTCCACCCTCAATGAGAAGAGAAGCAATTTGATATCCATTATATAATTTGATATTGATTAGTCATGTAAAACATTTCCATATCAGTTATGTTATAAAAGAAAACATAGACCAAAAAAAAAAGAAAGTAAAAAAAGTATACTTCTATCTGCATTTGAACTCCATCAGTTCTTTCTCTGGAGTGTTCATGTGAGTCTTTCCAAGTTTTTCTAAAAGAATCCTGCTTGTTATTTCTTTCTTTTGTATTTTGCGTATTTTTAATAGCAGTTTTCCTTTATTAACAGAGGTAAACTTTTAGGAGAATAAATAAAGCTCCATCTCCTCACCTATGAAAATTATTTTTTGCTATGGGCAAGTGGCTATTTTCAAGGCTGGACTCATCACTGAAATTAATATAATTTACTGTTTAACCTTTTTTTGGACTGGTTAACTTTATTAAGTAGTAAAAATATAGTTATTTTTTGAGGACAGTGCTTAAAATTATCTCAATACGTAATTGCATCTTTTTTTTTTCAATTTTTTCACATTTTTGCTTAAAGTTTTGAGTACCAAATTCTATCCCTGCTTCCTTTCTTTTCCTCCCCCCTCCCTGAGACAGTAAGCAATCAGATATAGGTTAAACATGTACAATTATGTAAAACATTTCTATATTAGTCATTTTGTACAAGAAGACTCAAACAAAAGAAAAAATGAAAGAAAGTGAAAAATAACATGCTTCAGTCTATATTCAAACAATATCAGTCCTTCCTCTGGAGGCGATAGTATGCTTTATCATTAGTCTTTTGGGACTGTCTTGGATCATTGTGTTGCTGAGAATAACTAAGTCATTCACAGCTGATCATCGTGTAATATTGTTGTTACTGTGTACAATGATCTTTTGGTTCTGTTTACCTCACTCAGCATCAGTTCATGTAAGTCTTTCCAGGTTTTTCCAAAACCATCCTGCTTGTCATTTCTTGTAGCACAATAGTTTTCCATCAGAGTCATATGCTACAACTTGTTTAGCCACTCTCCAATTGATGGGCATTCCCTTGCCACCACAAAAAGAGCTGCTATGAATATTTTTGTACATGTAAGTCCATTTCCTTTTTTAATTTCTTTGGGATATAGACCTAGTAATGGCATTGCTGGGTCAGAGGGTATGAACAGTTCAATGATCCTTTGGGCACAGGTCCAAATTGCTCTCCAGAATAGTTAGATCAGTTCATAACTCCACCAACAATGCACTAGTGTCCCAATTTTCCCACATGCCCTCTGCCATTTGTTATTTTGATTTTCTGTCATAGAAGCCAATCTGATAGGTGTGAAGTGCTACCTCAGAGTTGTTTTAATTTGCATTTCTCTAATAATGATTTAGAGCATTTTTTCATATGATTATAGGTAACTTTGATTTCTTTGTCTGAAAATTGCCTGTTCTAGTTGTAGTGTTGATGGTCAGATTCAACTTTAATATTGAAAGGCTACAACCAGGAAGGATAATTTTCAAGAAAGGACAATTTCTTCTCTTCAAATAGAAACAAGCTGCCACTAATCCATACATATGATTCCCTCTGGGCTGTGCATTGATTCCAATCAATCAATAGACATTTAAGGACCTCCTAAGTACCTATTAAGTGTGTTTACACTGTGTTAAGTGCTGTTCTTAAAATGTAATATTATCTATGTCTTATTGTATTTTTATTTATTTTGTTAAATATTTCCCAGTTACATTTCAATCTGTTACCAGCAACACTGGAAAGTATTGAATGCTTCGTGAAGCCCTCTGGCTGTTCTGTTTCTTTGACCCTCTGGCCTATACTATAAAAAAGAAGTTCAGGTTGCAAACAACTTACTGTATCATCCCAATAAACTACCGTGGTTCACAGTTCTGGGTCTCTGTCTGAAATGTCTGATCTTGTCCATGACAATAACCATCTGTCGATCACTTTGTGATGAACACAATATTCAACCTATCTAAATTTATATTATGATTACTCCTGCCCCAGCCAGACAACAATATTCTCAAATCAACATATATTTTGGGAAGTAGAGTTTTCCATCACAGGTCAGTACACACACACACACTTACTTTAAGAACATAAGAACTGGAAATAAAGGGTTCTCTGTCTAGTACTAAGCATCTTTCTAGCTGTAGTCAGTGGTACTTAAATATTGTTTGTTTGGTCTTTCACAAGTTCTGCCTATTTGTTTTTCAGCTCTGGAAAAAAAAACAGTAGAGGAGACAAGAGTATGTCAGAAGGATCATTTATCTACAAAGGTCCTTTTACCTATGGTAGGCTGGGTCTGACTCAAGCTAGTCCTCTGGTAGTTTTGGTTTGATGTTGTAACAAATGAGACACTCATAGGTAATTCAAC